AGCCCTTATAAGCCGCTTAAGAACCTTATAAGCCGTAGTCCCCGGAAGAGCCTTCTTTGAAGGCGCCCGAGCCGCCCCCGCGCGGAACCTCAAAGGGGCACTTCTGGAGCTTCGGCTCGGGTTTTGGCGGTTAGGATTTGGGGTTTAAAGGTTAGGGCCTACAGCCGGGCTTGACGTTTCGAATGCCTGAGAGAGATTGAGAGAGAGAGAGAGAGAGAGAGAGGTTTAGGGCCGGGCTTGACGTTTCGAATGCCTGGGAGAGAGAGAGGCGGGTTTAGAGGTTTAGGGGGTTTGGGTTTAGAGCTTTAGGCGTTCAATTTGTTCATCTCGACCGATCGGAAGACGGTTGTGTGGAAGGTCGGGCGAGACGAGAAGCGCGGATTTAGGGGTTTAGGGGTTTAGGGCTAGGTAAGGGGTTTAGGGTTTATAGGGTTTAGGGTTAGGTAAGGGGTTAAGGGTTTAGGGAGTGCAGTCGCTGCCATGAAGGACCCCATTGACCATAATTACTAGACCTCGCTACGAAGGAGCAATGGAAACGAAGCTGAAAAAGCCGAGATGTTCAATGAATGCGCTCCTTGAAGGAGCAGATCCTCCGGACGACGTTTTTTTTGCGTGGAAAGAGCACGTCTACAAAACAAAGCCGTAAACAGCGTCGCTCTGAAGCTCCGCAAAAACAGCGCATGGCTGCTGTGTTCGACGGCTCCGCCGCAGCCAGGGCCGAAGGTTACCGGCATGCCTTCCCACGCACAGCAGCGCAATTGAGCTGCGTATTTGGTTTCAAGATTTCGCTGCTGGCGGCATGCTTCAGAGAGACCTCGTTCAAAAGGGGTTTAGGGCTTAGGGGTCTAGACTTCAAGAGGCCTGGATGCAAAAAGTTTAAACTAAAGATTTGGGTTGGCTCTTTGAGCAAGGACTTGTCCGTGGTTTTGCATTGCCTGGCATTGCCGGGTTGCAGATATGGGTTTGGTGCATGCTTTTAGGGTAGAGGGCTTTGGGGATTTAGGGCTTGTGGGTTGAGGGTCTAGGGCTTTCTGGGTTTCGGATATGGGGTTTAGGGGCTGTGTCCATAGTGATTCTGGGTTTTGGGCTGGCTGCTTGAAGGGTTTCATTTTCTGATAATAGGGCCGAATAATGAATAGGGACTTGATAGTTCGAATGCGGCTTTCTAATCAGGACTCAATGAGAATTGATTTCTGCGGTTTGTTCTAGTATGGACAATCAAAGTTTAAAAGGATTGAATGGCCAATTAATTTATTCTTTTTGTTTGATACAGCCATGAACCCTGGGTCACGACAGATCAGGGAACCCGAGGCCCGTGCTTTCAGGCTTCTGTTATGTTCGGTACCGACATTATTAGATGAGCTTGCGTGTGGCGTCGGAGCTGCTACAGGGCAAGATTGGATAAAACTTGAAGCCCTGCGCGAATTCCGGCACGAAACTCTGAAGCGAACGCCGATATTCTAGTATGATACAGTATGATATGGTTGAAGGTAGTGTACTATAGTATAATATACTTTGGTATATTAGGTAACAATATTAGATCATAGTATTTACTAGCCCCGAAGACCCTCATCACCTTGACTACTGGCCCTGTAAACCCTACTTAGAAACCCTGAAGCCGTGCCTGCCTTGTGCGAGTGTGTGAGTCGAAACCCCTCAACACCTGCAGATCTAAACACAACGAGTCCTTCAGTTTTCGAAGGTCGCGGAATTCCGCAGCCGGGCCCTGGTATTCCGTGGTTTTTTTCATTGTTTTTCAATTTTAGATGGGGATGATGAGGGTTTAGGGTTTATGGCTTTTTCAATTTTGGGATGAAGGCTTAAGGTTTATGGTTTTTTCAGGGTTTTCTGTCTGCCTGGACCCCAAGGGTATGTAGAACAATAGCCTTCTATAGGTTTTGGGCCATTATTTTGCCTACTTTGGGGGGTCTAGGTGGCTCTTAGTAGGGAATGGCTGGACGGATTATGGAGAATATCATTGGGGATTATATAGGGACTAATGTAGGAACCTGATTAAGAAACCCTGGGCCTATAACCCCCATTGACAGGATTCATATAAGGAACCTTTATAAAGGCCCAAGGTTTCTTAATCAGGTTCCTACATTAGTGTAGGGATCCATTCCCCCATTCCCTACTAAGCACCAGGTAAGTGTGAGAGTTTCTGGGGTTTGAGGGTTTATTGTTTACGTAACTGTTTTGGTGGTTCTCACTGTAGGCTTTTTGGGGATTTTCGTGGTTTGAGGGTTTGTGGTTTTTGGGTTCGGTACTGTAGGGGTTTCGGATTTCAGGGTTTGAGGGTTTATGGTTTATAGGTTTTTAAAGTGCTAGGGGTTTCAGAGTTGAGGGTGTCGGTGCTTGGACTCGAGTAGACTCTCAGATGCCACGCTCTATGCATGTTTGGATTTCAGGCTTTGGGGAATTTAGGGCCAGGGTTGTGGGTGTTTAAGAGAGTTCTGTAGGATTTGCCGCGCACCACTTAGGGCTCAAAGTTACAGGTCCGGGTATGCCTCATAATGTAAAGTGGCGGCAAAAGAAGACTTCGCGCGACTTCTGTAGACAGGTTGCAGCCCAAAGTTTTTTAAGATTCGCAGAAGAGAGCGCAGCCGTGTCAAAATCCTGTCAAAACTGCAAAAGCCGGGTCGTAGAACCATGTTTCAACGCTGGCAAGACCCTGTCAATCCTTCCCCTCCCCGGTTTCGAGAAAGGAAGCATCATATCGTTCTCAAAAATCCCTACTGAAGAACCCCTGTAGAGCCATATTATGATACCTCCAAGAGTTGCAAAGTAAGCTTCTATGGAATCACTTAGGAGCACTGTCGTCCAAAAACACCCGGCCGAGGCTCCTGCCGACAAGATCGCCAAGCGCGTGGCTTGGCTCCTGCGCTGCAAAGGAAATGGTGCCTATAGCTACCTGTGGACTAGGTTGGATTTTGGGACATTCTTTATTTTCTTTATTTGGGTTTAGAAGGGACCCTATACATAAATATTTTTCAGGGTGTTTAAAGGCCAACCCAGTGGATCCAAACCAGTTGTTCCTAACTTCGGGGCTTCCTAAACCCTGCCTTTCTCTGACGAACTATATAACTATACAAAGAAACTACTGTCAGGATTCCCAATGGCTTCTTGGGTCCAGGCCTACTATGAGCAAGGGCTCACCTGTTGGCAAAGTTTGGGTCGCGCTGCTTGAATCTCATGATGTTGTCAGGATTAGACTGGATTTCGGTGTACAGGTTCAAGGCTCTTAGGGCTTGGGAGCTTTTAAACGGGCCAACCTGGGCTTCCTTCAGTCGTCACTGGCGCTTAGGGTTTGGAGCATAGCCAGTTAGAGCATGGGGTGTGCGGACGTGATGCTCTTGGGTTGAAGGCGAGGCCGCGGGGCTTTAGGGCTGAGGCTGGCACTTGCTTCTGCACTTTTGAGGGCGATGTGGGTTGTCGTATGCTGAGGGTTTCAACGCTCTTTGACCGTGTTGGTTTTGATGGCTTTGAGGTACCATGTTCTTGGATCGACTTTGGGCAGACTGGGTTTAGGGTCACATGGGGCTGTTGATCTACTGTCGTTTGGGGGAGGATCCCTCGAGCTTTGTGCGAGTGCAACGCAGCGAAATGTGGCCCGAAGGAGATCAGTGACTGTCAACCTATGGAGAGAAATGGAGCCCTGGCATGAGACGTAATTCGCAAGCCCAAGCAAGGCAACTCTTGCTTTCGGATGCTTTCGGGGGTTTATGACCCGAGATAAAAGCATGAGATCATCGCCCTGCTCGACCATTGCGGATTTGGATGACATGCCAAAAACTGTGGCCGGCGATGGGTTGATGTTGGTTGGAATACACGCGCGGACAGCGGGGAAGTCCGTTCAAGAGAGCCGTGGAATCGTAGGGGCGTTAGGTTTAGTTTTGGGTCTCCACAGTTGATAATACAGAATGCTGAATCTGAAGTTGCTTGATGCACCGTAGCGACGTAGCGGTCTATGGTGGCAGACTATAAGACATAATCTAAGCCCGAAACCCTTGCAGATACTTCAGCAGCCTGAAAAACAGCCTGCCGAGCCCGTCACCCCCCCCTGCTTTTAGTAATATACCTGAGAAAGGTAGGTTTCAAGGCCCGGTGCACTCCGGAATTGATGCCTGTTGTTCTCGCAGGGGTTTCCAGCCACGAGAAGCTGAGGTTGAACCAGCACACGCAGCTTGCCGCGCCCTTGGACTATGCGCAGCTCTCAGATACAAGGGGGCTCGGTGGGGGGATCTAGGAAGCTGGAGATCACGTGGAAAGTTTGGTACAGGGTGGCATGGGTTCATGGGATTTTGAGGTTTAGGCTTCAGGGCCATTTGGGGGAAAGAGTGGCAGGGGTTCATGGGCAAGGATGTAGAGTTCGGACGAATTGGAGGTCCACGTGGTGTTTTGTTGTTCGAAAACTTGTCCACTTTCGTGGCTTTTGAACGGTGCCTGCCTAAGAACAGAATGGAGACCCTATCCGAACTTTCAGAGGATTGGAAAGGTCGCAGGAGCCGTAACCCCACCTGCCAGTGCAATGCACCTGTTGGTGCAGTGATCTTCTCTCCATATCTTTGTATCCTAAGCCCTGTATTATAGTATTAGGCTGTGTATCAAACAAAGGTGCAGGCCGAGACCGCCCTGAGGCAAGGACCTAAAGCGCTGAAACCTCTAGCCCTGAGCCTAAATCCTCAGAGATTAAGTCCGAAGCGCCAGAACCCCGACCCCTAAACTCCAACAACTCCGCGTTATGCTTGCTTGCCGCGCTTGCCGGCTCAAGTTCCAAAGCTTGTGCACCTCCGGGGCAGGATTAAAAGAGGTTTTGGGCCGCGGGCCTTGAGTTTTTGGGGATATAGAGATTCAACTTCTTTTGGGTTTTGGTGGGTTTACGGCGTTTACGGCTTCGGGGTTTGGGGTTCGGGGTGGAAGCTGCATCAGAGCGCAACGGCCCAAGCCCTCTACGAACATGGCCGGCGCACCCTTCGTCGTCTGAGAGTGCACGCTAGCCGATGAGGCTGGGTCCGTTGAAAACGGCGCTGGAGTCGGAGATGTAGGGTGAGCTTCGGGTTCTTCCAGGGATGCTGTGCTCGGTTCGTGATGGGTACGCTGAATCTGAAGATCTTCGAAGTTAATGGAAGATATAATGCTCAAGCAGGGTTCAATTGAATACCGTCCTCTCATGAACCGTGCAAGGCGTCTGCCGTGGTCAGGTGCTATCCACGGGTTAGGGTTCGGGGTTCAGGGATTGTCATCATCGGGCATGTGCAGGACAAGTCTGTGCAAACCGGCTTTGATAGCTGGCTTGCTGAGCAGGCAAGACAGCGGGTTTGTAACAAGTAGCCAAGCACAGTCCTTGGCCGACTTGTCTTGTGAAGCAGCTGGTGTGAGTCAGGAATTAGGAGGGGTGGCTTGGTGGATCTCATATGTAGCCCGTCAATCCACCGTTCTGTATCTCCCTAAAACCTATCCCAAAACTTCACAAACGGGTTATTGGTCCTACGCAGTGACCCGCGATAGCAATGGCCTTTCAGCAACGGCATCGGACTTACAGATCGGGTCGAGGCTGCAAGGAAACTATAGAATGAAGCACTCACATGCTTAGAAGCGGCTCATTGTGTTTATCATTCGTTACTTGGCTATACCATACATATACTATATACTTTGCGATAATATACACAATATTACTATTTATACTACTGTGCTGTATGATACAATACTTTATTGTACTACCTAGAGGCCCCAGAGTAGTTCGGGATTACCTTATAGGATACTACATATGAACCCCCAAAAAGGAACTACTATGTGGCCTTTGGGTAGGCTGTCCATCTCGAACCCCGCATCCGCATTTGAGGCGGCTCCTTGCCCTTGCACTCTTCGAGGCATGGAAGCCGTGAGAAGCTTGCGGTTCTGAAGGGTTTTGGAAGAGTGGATTCGGGCCGAAAAACTGTGCAGAATGCAAAGAGAGAAGCAGACAATATAGCAGTCAATGGCAGGCATGTTACTGTTGGTATTTTCTTAGGTACTGCTTGCAAGTTGCACCGGCACCTCGGTGACGTCAACAGTGTGCTGGGGGAATAGAGTTCTGATAGTGAGGAGCAAGACGGGAGACCTGCAGGCTGCTACGGATGTCGTGAAGATGTTCACTTACTAGTTCTTGGCAAGGAATATTGAGGCCGTGCAGCATCCTTAACCCTGAAGGGTTTCTACAAGCTGGCATCTTTTCGTTCCTCATGGGTGGTTTTGTGATGTTCAGCACTACCGCATGCGAAATTCTTGGGAGGAAATGTTTTGATCTCCACGTGTTCAGAATCTGCGTGTTTAAGGTGTGGACATACCTCAGCCGCTTTTTGAGATAGCTGCCTCATTCGAGGGGAGCAAGAGAAGCTCAGAACGTAAAAGCCCAAGAGCCAGTTGCCACAAAGCCTCAAGCTTGTTCCCTTTTGTTCCGGGACGTTTCGGGTCTAAAGAGCGGTTCGGGATCATTGGAAGTGAAGTTGTAAAGTCTCGGAAGATCGATTTTGAGGTATTTATGTTGTTGTTGGTGCTGCTGTGCTGATGATGGCTGCCATGGTTCGACACAACGAGTTCTTATGTAGTGCCTTGCAATCGCAGCAAGAACTAAGCACGAGACAGAACAACCTTAAATGACAGTAATAGTAGCAGCAAGACCCAACCAAGAAAGATAACACCAGAATGAAACCCTACATTCCAAGCCCAGTAATAATTAATCTGTCCTGTGAGGCCATTTCTTGCACGAGCTTCCGCTTTGAGGCGAGCTTCAGGGTCCTAGTTTGGGATCTAGAGGCTAGATACCCTAAACCCGAAACCCCAACAGGGTTCGGGGTAAAGTCTGCGGCTTGGCAAAGGTTATGGGGTTGGGTTTAGTGACTGAGTGTCTGGGATTTACGGTTGTATAGATCTGCACGCAGAGAAATGCAACTCCATGGGCTTCACCGCAGGAAGTTGGGAGTTTCCTCTTTTGAAAAGGCCAAGGCACGGGCAGAATCAAAAAAACAGACCCGTGTCCCTTCTCCTTACCCTAAACCCTAACCCCTATATTTTATAAACCCTATAAACCCTGAACCCTAAACCCGTGTCCCTGCTCCTTCCAAGACTTTCAGTTTCAGCTGAAGTGACCTGTCAAGGCACCTTTTCAGACCCCTGGGAGGATCCAAAAAGTAGATCCCTTAATGGGGGTTCCAAAAAAAAGTACCCTTAGTAATATAGGGCCGCAAATTCGGGGATCTACTTTCTAGCTCCTCCCGGGGGTCTGGGTTTGCGTGTCGTAACTAGACCACAGGGCCGACGCAAAATTTAAGTAAGCCCAAATCACAACCCTGAACTATATACACTTCCCCACATTCCCCAGTCCTTTAAAAGCCCTACATGGGGTTTAGTGCGTTTTGGGGCTCTAGCAAGTCCCGCAACAAGCCACCAGCTTCTCGCGAGGCCGCGCACGCCGACTGCTGGCGTCGTGGGGAGCCACGCGACTGCTGCAGTGGAACAGGCCGGGCGATGGGTGAGGGTGGTCAGGACCTTCTGTCGCCCGACCCTGAAGCTTAAATCGCGCTCAGGGTTTGTAAGGCTTTGGAGGTGTAGACTGATTTAGACTCGAAACTCCGCAAGCAGAAAGTGATGAACACCTGGAGGTTTCAGCTGCATGCAGCTCGAGTTTGAAAAAAAAGTTCCGGTAAAGGCGTCTGCCCCAAGATTGAAAGAGAAGCTTACGGGTTAGACGACCAGAGTGCTGGCTGCGAGCCAATTTGACCAACCCGAAGCCCTGAACTCAAGAACAAACTTATGCTAAACCCAAAACTCTGAACTGGTTCTCATTGGCGCTTCAGAATCGCTTTAGGGCTGAAGAGTGGTTAGGTTGGCTTTGAAGCTATGACTCATCACCCTCCGCAACTCCTTTGCAACAGGTGCCTTCAAGTGTTCAGGGGTTTTGATTTAGGGCTTCATGCTTCGAACACACATACACCAAACCTGGAGCCTCACAACTTAGACAAGAAACCCGAAGCCTGAAAACCGCCGCATCCAAACACCTGCAGCCTAAGGCCCTCAAGCCTGAAGAAGTCAATGCCCCGGATCTGTTGATGTTCCCGAAAATAGGGGACCCTAATATAGCATCCTAATTGATAGGATCCTTATTATAAGGCCCCCAAAATAAGGTACCCCTAATTTTCGGAAACTCCCAAGTCAGGATCTCCCTATGGATCCTGATTCCAGCGCCGCACTCTTGACGGAAAGCCCCAACTTAAGAGCTCTGAGCCTCCAAACTCAACTGGGAGTTTCCGAGAATAAGGGGGTACCTTATGTTGGGGGGACCTCATAATCAGGATCCTAATGTTTAGGGTACCATATGAGGGTATACCCTATTTTCGGAAACTTCCAAGTCAAAAGATGCAACCCTCAACCCTGAACCGTACTTGGACCCTACAAAAAATATCTTTTGCCGAGATTGCTGGGACGATTTTTGGACCTTCGAGCGCTGCTGCCTCGGGCAGGCACGGCCTACGGCGTGAGGGGTTCAAGGTTAGGGCTTCGTGGTTTTGTTGGCCTAGTAGTAGACTTTAGGGTTTAGGGGGTTTAGGAGTTTAGGGTTTAGGAGTTTAGCCTAGTAGTAAAGTAGGTAACCTTGAACCTTTTTGGGGTGGTATCGTCCCTATATAATCCCCATATAACCGAAAAGGTTAACCTTTAGTTCGCCATGATACCCGACCAGTAGGGTTGGGACGATGCAAGTCTACCAAGCGGACAACTGAAGGAACCTAGAGTCAGAGGAGCCATGATGTCAAGGTGTTTTTTTGCGACATCTACCAGGATTGGTGTGAGTTGATCCACTGTGAAAAGAGAGCGAAACGTATCAGTGTTTTGTTCGTCGAAGGTTTTGGAATTCGGCATTTCGCGGGCTCTTGGGGCCGAACAACATTTTGTCGGGAGCCTGAGAATCTGCAGGTTTCAGGTTGTCTGAATTTTTAGGAAGCAGCCTTCAACCGAGACGAGAACACCCACAAACATGTTCTGTACACTAGTGCAGCATCCGAATTTCTCCAGGTAAGCCGTAAACCAATGTCACAGGCCTTGGCGCTGCCTTCCCTTGAAGCTGCCTATGCCAATTACTGGTGCCCCCTCAAACCCAAAGAACCCTAAATCCTAAAACCTCAGTAGGTGGAGCTCGAGGAGGTTCCAGACAACCTCTGCCTGGGTGGGCCGGCAGGGTCGGCGGAGGACAGCTCTGTGCAGGGTGAGTGTCGGGTTGAAGGGATCGGGGTTATAATGCACAGTGCGATGGTTTCAGTCGGTGTTCAGCAATTACACTGCATCGTAGAGTCGCTATATACCCCAAGTTCAGTCATCATGATTGAAGTAGACCAGTCCACGTCAAAGTCCTGGTTTAGTTGCTTTGGAGTTTTGCGCTTGGAATGGAACCCTAAACGCTAACCCCAAACCCTAAACAAACTCAAGGCTCAGGCCGCCCACCTCCGTGGGTGGGCGCTTAAGCCTTTCATGGCACAGAGCGACCCAATACGCCTGCCCGCCTCTCCACAGCCATGGGGACGGTAGCCTGCCCGGTACCAGAACGTGTTCTTTTCGGGTCCCTTAGATTTTTGACCTGAAGCCTCCAGGCCCGCCGCTGTGCCCTGTGCCCTGCCCTCCCATGCCCAACCCTGCCACTTGCCCTGTCTGCTGCATCAAGACGGTTCAAGAAATAGAAAATGTTGGATTGGAATGAGTTGAGGTGCCAAACCGCCACGAAGAGGTTTGGGCGGTTTAGCCGCCTCAGACGGCGTGGGGTGGGAGAGTTGAAAGAAAGAGCCATCCACAATCAGGCTACGACGCGCTCACTGCGCCACCCCAAACTGCCAAGAGCGCCGCGACCATTTGCATGGGCGCTCGAGGCTCCGACTGAGGACCGAGGGTGGACAAAACAGGGCGAAATTGCAGTTTTTGTCCAGGTCCCCCCCTAGGACCCGAGGGGACGGTAACCTTCCCTGCCCTGCCCGCCTCCTGCCTCCTGCCTGCCCTGGCCCCCTGCCCTGCCCTGCTCCCCCTGCCCCTGCCTTCACAAAGGCGCAAAATCTTTGAGGGGGGTTTGAGGTGAACCCTAAACCCTAATTGGGAGGGGTGGTTGGGGCGGGACTACATGCTGACGCAAGCGGGCGCCCCTCTTCCTAAAGTAAAAGGAAAGCCCCAGACCCTAAGCCCCAGCTGCAAGACTCCCGCATCGGTCCTACCCTAAACCACACGAACCCTGGCGGCCCCAAGACCCCAAAACCTGCAACCGTCAAGCCTTATTAGAGTTTCCGAGTTTTAGGTTACCTTATTTTGGGGTGCTTCTAATATTAGGGTCCTACTATAAACTCCCTTTTGTCATTGCTCGTGGATCCAAGCCCCAGCCCCAAACGCTAAACCTGAAACCCTCAAGGCTTGTCTTCCCGGTAGCAGTGGTGTGATCGCCTGGATCCGTGCCTGCTTTGCGAGCGTGCATGTCGAAAGCCTTAACTTCCTGATAAGCCACAACCCGACCCCTAAACTTAAAGCGCGCGAAAAATGTAAATCCTTGATGCCGCAAACCTTACAGCCCACACGCTAGGAGTTACGGCTGGACCAACCTTCGCAGGCAGGTCGAAGCTCTCATGGGACTTAAGAGACAAAACTTTTTAGTCAATTGCAGTAGCTGAGTAATCCTATTTCCTTACCTATTTCCTTACAGTCACTATATAGTCAGCAATACCTGCAGTACTGTGTCATATACGAGGGTTGTACAGGCAAAAACTGGTGAAACCTTGAACCCTACAGCCCTAAAGTCCTGAACCCTGAAGCACCTCGAGCATCTTTCAGTGCAAACCGCAAGCCACAAGCGGGAAGTCCTCCAACGAGCCACGTGCCGTCAGAAGTTCCGACACCACTCTACCTGCATCGGCCCAGAACTTCAGAAACTGCAGAAGTCAGTGTATCGCATCCTAAACCTCTACTACTTCGGGGGCCTTCTTTTGACGGACTCAAAAAGGCCGTCTCAACTAGAAAAGCCTAGTAGAGGTCCCCCCCAACCCCTGTGCTAAGTGCTAAGTAATCGCTTGTTCACGAGCTTTCCAGAGCCTCAGGCGGATCCTTTTGTGTTCCTCTGGGATGAGAAGTGCAACTTGGCTTTTCAACAAGCACGGGAGTACTTCGGGCCTGGGACAGACTAGGATACGGGGTTCGGTTTCAGTCTTTTAGGCTAGCTTTTGTGTAGGCCCGTAGGCTTCTTTGGAGGGTTAAAGGCAAGCAACACTACAGTTAACTAGGAGGTAGGTGTTTGGGTCTTCAGCGAGTCGGTAGTAGTGTTGAAAGTGCTAAGGTTTGGCACAAACTTGGCGGTGAGGCGGCTTCTTCTAGCTTGTTGAGTGGTATACTTCGTTACTTTTGTTGTTCCTGGGTTCCATTTTCAAACACAAAAACGTATCTACTTTACCCACTGGGTTGCTCAACAGCCTGGCCTAGTCTGCGTACCCAACAGCTTCCAAGCCCTGCCACAGGTCCTGCAGAAAGCCACTGCAGTTCGTGACCTGGGCTAAACGGCTAAACTATACCCCCCCCCGCCCTCCCAGCTTAGTTCTAAACCTCTCGGGCCTGGGGCCTTCATGGTACAACAGGATGAAAGTGAAGCTCGACCTGCACCAAAAGTCTAAACCCCAAGAGCTTTAAGGCTTAGGATCTCAAACCGCATCCCTACCATCCCATAGCGTCCCAGGTGGTGGCACAACATTTAACGAATGGCTGCTGGCGTCGGCACATGCGTCTGGACTGCTGAAAATCTGGCCCTGAACCCTAAGACAACACCTCCAGATTACCTGTGGCACGTTCAATAATCGAACTCAAACGTGTGTGTCCTTGTTGATGCTCCCCCGGTCAAGTAGGCATAAGGCTCAGGTAGATGGGTATAGGACTCATCAGAGATATTTATTGACATTGATCCCGCAGCACCGCTTGTAAATACAAATGGACATTCAGGCTGCAACAGCAACTGTTTCTGCTGCGGCTGCTTTTGCTTCTGCTTCTGCTTGTTTGCTTGCTTCGGCTTGCTGCTGCTCCTCCTAGTGCGATTATGATTACGGGCAGGAGCGCGATCGCCGTACACGCCAGCAGTAGCACCGTCACCGGTGAAATCAGCATCATCATCGTTATCACCTTTGCTATTGTCATCAGTACCCTCGTCACTTGCACTGCCTCCGTCAGCACCGCCACTGCCACCCACAACTTCATCATCAGCATCGGCATCATCGTCATCATCGTCATCTTTTCATCATGATCTCCATCATCATGAGCATCAACAGCATTGCCAGTATCATCAGTTTCTTCTTCATGTTCATCGTGATCCCTGTAAAGCTGAACATCTATACCCCGACAGCCAAGGATATTGAGAAGATACACCAGACCCACATCTCCGACTACGGCTGGCCGCAACGTGACCTGAAGTAGGGCTGATAGTAGGGTGTTGGTGAGTGCATCTAGGCGTCATGAAGGAGACTGGTCGGTGTAGATTTTTTGTTATCACGGGAATAGCCCTGCACCCCAAGTCTTATGCCCTCTTCCCTAAACCAACATCCAAAATACGTGCATGGAATCTTTCCAGGTCCAGGGAATGCCTGAGAAATTTCGCATATATGTTTCGCGGCTTACGAACTTCAAGATATTTAGGCCCATCAAGCACCACTGAAGCTTTGAAACATCCCGATCCGATCGAGAGATCGTCGCACCCTCGCACTCCCAGCGCAGGAGCCTCAGCAAGGAGTAGTGGCGCTCTGGGTCTAAGCCCTGTAGACTCGGTATGGGAAGTTGTCGTCCTTGCAACCACTTTGAACCCTGACACAATTTAAGGAACGTCATTGGGACACCTTTCTTCCTGAAGACCTACAGCCTTGAGAAGCTTCATTCCTTGGAGCACCCCGGCGAGGTATGCCCGGCAGTCATCATGGCTTCAGGTTCATGTTTCACCCCGGCCGTATGAGGCCCAGCCAGCCCCAGGTAGAGGCTAGCCGGTTGACGGGTTTAGGGTTCAGGCCCTGCTTCGATTTAACTTACCGATCGGCAAAGGACGGACAGGCGTTTAGATAGCCCCAGCAACTGAAGAATTTGCAAAGATTCGGGTCATGTAAATTTTTTCCTGCAACTCGAACTCCCTCAAACCGGATATTCGCTTCTTCATTGACACGAGAGCAAAATTCACCATATGTTGTAAGGCCCCTATACCAGAACCTGGTACGCCCTCATAATTGATGGTAAAACCTTTATCACGCCCTGTGAATCCCTATAGAAGCCCATAGAAACCATCGGAAACCCTCTACAACCAAACGCAAACCATCGATTAATCCGTGTAATCGATCTGTTTTCAAAATCAATGTCGTACAGCCCTAACGGTCGAAGGATGTTATCGGTTGTATAAGGAGCTATAGATTATAGATGCCGTTATCGAAACTCTTATAGATCCCTTAAAGGTACCCTTAAAGGAGCCCTACAAGTAACGATCGAAGGATCTTATCGGCCAATGTGGACTGGAACATCTTCCCCGTGCTGGGTTGCCGTGCGCCGGTGCGGCAGCCCCGGTGCTTCATTCTACTGAGGCAGCTTTGGGGTCAAGCACTTTACAGGCTAAAGAGTTTCATAAGGGTCCGCGAAGGGTTCTATTTTCGTCGGAGCTTTATAAGGGTTCGATAGAAATTCTACTTTCATAAGAGTTCCCCAAGGGTTCGATAAGGCTTTAAGGTTCTAGTCCTAGTTTCACACCTCTCCCCAAGTGACTACTTTGCATGTATCCGTTGCTCCGTATCCTGCGACAGACAAACACCAACAAATGCCAACATACCACTTGGAGGAGTTCCTGAGTATACTAGCGGATTCGACAATTCCTGGGACTGGGTCGCAGATGCATCTTGTAATGACTTTTGAGCTTTCGTTTGTCGACGCCGTACCGCGCAGCAAGTGAAGCCAAAACTGGATCCATCCCGCGAGGAACCCCATCGATCGGTTCATCTCCTACTACCTGGAGAGGCCCTTGGGCCAGGAACTATAGTGTTTATACGAAAGATTCTAGAAATAAAACATACATGATCAGAGGGTCCGGCAGGCTTATCGAGGGCTCCAGATCCCTAGGTGGGAGTTTCCGAAAAGAGGGTAATATCCTAATATGCTACCCTAAATTGTAGGATCCTCATTATAAAGAACGGGTTTTCCCGTTTGTTGGGAAACTCCCAGGTTGGAAACCCGATGTAGAGCAACTGTAGGGCCCAGAGTCGGTTTCTCGAACACTGCAAGCATGACGGCGTTACATGGGAGTTTCCGAAAATTAGGGGTACCCTAATTTTGGGGTCCTTGTAATAAGGATCCCACGATTTAGGATACTATATACGGGCCCCCGATTATCGGAAACTCCCACATGCATCTAAGTCGCGGATCCATTTCTTCAAGGACGAATGGTACCCACAGGTCAGCCCATTGTATTCTGTACACTGATTATGGCTACCTTGTGCTTCTGGTGCTTCCAATCTACTGCCCAGAGACCTTCCTCCCATGCTGCCGGAGCATCTGCAGAAGTTCGCCAGATCCCACCCATTTCTCGACTTACCCGGCCAATGGCAGAACACCAACACTATCATTCCCCATCTACCTACCGCTAGACACATAAAACTTTAATTGTGTGTGCACATGCATATATACGTACATATATACATGTGTATATATATATATATAAACTCATATATTTATTTATTTGTGTATTACTTAGAACCGGCGGGGGCTTTCAACTAGTTTCAGGCTGGGTTTGTCAAGGAAACAAGGGTGAACCTGAACAACAAGGCCCGACCACCCCTGGACCCTAGTAAGGCTTAGCCATCAACCTTAAAAGCCGCTATATCCAAGATCCCGGAGGTCGGATCGACTGCTGGAAGGAGGTACCTCGGCTCCAACATCGGCACTCGGGCTTCAGGTTTAAACGTTTACCGTGTAGGGGGTTTAGGGGTTTACCGCAACAGAAAGAACGAGGTGTTGGGGTCCATCGTGCTCGAATTATAGCAGGAACCCTATAGGAATACATAGTATCGGTGGTTCTTCCGGCTTATACATGTAGGATGCAGGATGCTTGCAGGCTTTTTGATGTTTGGGGCTCTTGCTGGTCATTACAGACCACTTTAAGCGATCAGACAGCCGACAGTCTCGTGCTTAGGGTTTGGGCTTCATGGTTTGCCGTATATCCTAAACTCAACAACAGATTCCCACAAGTTGAACATTCGAGCATGATCTTAAACCCCGGATCCAAGAATGCTGCGTTCACAGTCTCGGAACTAGCGTTCATACAGTCGAAGCACATTCAATGATATGCACGTATATATCTATATATACATATGTATATATATATACATATGTATATACGTGTATATGCATATACACACATAAAGTCAGATTCATACACATATGAACACATAGATAAAATATACAACTATATATGTGTGTGTGTATATTTTTCTGTGTGTGTGTGTGCGTGTGCGTGTGCGTGTGCGTGTCTGTGTAGACATACATGCATACATCCGCATGTGTGTATACAGATTGATGTAAACATATGTGTATGTATATTAGTGTATAAATGCACATAACAGTTTACTTATACCTACAGCCTCCATAACATGTCAAGCCGCATTGAACGACTTTACGTGCAGATGGATTTACTAGCGCTGCTAAGACAGATTGCGGACACCATGATGGATCGTAACACTTCTAGTAGGTATGGAAACTACCTACAAAACACCGTGCCTATCTTCAACGTAAGCCCTAAGCCCTAAGATTCTGATATGCACCGCCCAGCGCTTGAGGTCGTCCTCGTTCCGAAGTGTAGAAAACCCTCCTGAGGCAGCTCGATCATGCGCTTCCTGTCCCAAGTTCCCTTGCAGGACCGATGCGTTCAGGGGACGGGTTTTCGGGTTGAGGGGCGTGGGGCTCAAGAGCAATCAGGGTAGGGTTTATATAGAGTTTGTAATGTCGGCTGTGGGGCTCAGCAAGTTCGAGACGATCTTCGTTCAATCCCACTGGACTGGAGCCTGTTTGATTCTGAAGGGGAATTAGGCCGTGCGGGTTGAGACAGTCACGCCTGCCACAGCAAAGTATAGCAAAGGTCTTGGGCCTTAAACTTGACTGCCAACCGTAAGACCTCGTCTGGCCATGTCCGAGTTGCGAGAACCCCAAAAGGTCGTCTGTTGGGTCCAAGTAGCTCATAACCACATACCCCCCGGAACAGTAACTACATCCATATCTCTCTATTACACTACACTAGATCACTAGATTTAGTAGACAGTGATACGGGTGCCGCTGCGGCAAGTTTGATATTTTGCTGTTGTTTCTGTGAGTGAGGTAGGTCGCATCTGTGAGGAGTTTGAAGCATACCTGGACTCCATTCGCTTCGACCGCCTCCGTTTCAGTGGAGAGGAGTATGCTAGGGCTCTCAGGACCTTTAGCCTTATTGATTTTGGGCTTTTAGGACTTAGGATTCTTGGGACCCACTTGCTCTCTGGGGAACCGGACCTCCTTTCAGGTTTTGCTACATACAAGCAAGGCAAGTAGCATCACCAAGCATTTTGGGCTCATTCTCTGAAACCTAGGGAATCTGCCTGTTTGGGGACCGGTTAAAACCACGACTTCCCCCTGTATGTGTCCAGAAAAAAGGAAAGTTCTTCTGGGTTCGAACTCCCGTCGTTTTGCGTTTAAGGCAGGCGAGGATGCTCTTCCTCGTATGCCCAGGTTTTGATCTGAGGGAAGGCCTATGAGGTTTAGGGATACAGAGCTGAAGCCTCAAGCTTAAAGTCGTGGAGCTTTGCCCAAAACCCATTATCCTAAGACCTAACACCGTAAGGGTTAGGATTTTGCGCGTTGCCATGTCTTGGGGTTTCTCATCACGCAAAGCTCGATAAGCTCTAGTGGGCACCTCTCAGATAACCGGCAAGGTTCGCGGGTTGAGATTTCAACGGCCTCGAAGCCCTGAATCGTGATCTCCCGAAGGAGAGTGGCTTGTTCTGCAACCGGGAAAACGGAGAGCGACTTGGAATTGAAGCGAACTTCTTGACATGAGGATTTCGGGTTCGGGCATGTAGATTTGTGTTGTAGTTCAGGTTGTTGGCATAGAGTCTTCAAGGTGTAGGGTTTAAGAGCTTAAGTGAGTGGTTTCAGAGCTCAGAGCTTGGGCAGTACAGACTTTATAGGGCCAGTGTGGTTTTAAGAGCGTTCAGTGCAATCTTAAGTAAAAATCCGTAGCAAGTTAACATATTGATATCTCTGCTGTTGACAATGATGCCGTCCATGGGGGCTGATGTCGACTAAGATGGAAGTGGTGGCCAGGAGGTGGGGCAGGGGTACAAGGACGCTGGTGGCGATGACGATGATGATGATGAGGGTGGTGAAGATGATGTTGATTGCAATGGTGATTGTGATGGTGAGGACGATGATGATTTGATGGTGTTGGTGATGATGGTGCTGATGATGATGTTGACGGTGATGGTGATGATGATCATGTTGATGGTGGTGGTGATGATGACGATGATGGTGGTGGGGACGTTGATGGTCATGACGATGACAATTACGACGCCTCTCGGCATATGGCCTCTTGGAGCGAAGCGACAGGGTTGCTTCGTCGTCGTCGCAGGAAACCACCGCTGCTGCCGTGTGTCAACATGAGCTGATTCTAGTAACACACGGCAGATGCTCCAAGCCAGACGGATAGTGACCGATAGTGTGTGGAGAGCTGACAATATTTGTAAGGCCCACCCACCGAAAGAGATGCAAAGATCAGCCCGCGCATGATACTGCTGTTGACAAACTAACCGTAAACCCTGTTGTTCATCTTAGGTCATGTAAAAGCCCAATGTTCTCAGCATGAACGATCATGCTTGAAGCCCGAAACCCCAACCTCTGTAAGACCCTGCTGAACCCCATAAGCTCTCCCTCAAAAAGACTTTGCAACAACAGCACAGAAACTTGAAACGCTTTAAATCAAAACAGCCTACTATGGCCTTGTAATAATTATACTATTCTGGGGGTTCCTTATTATAATTCTAGTATGATGCCCCTATATCAGAGAAGCCACGATGCCCCCCGTATCGATTGAGCTTGGTGTTAGGCTTTGCCTCGCGCGCGACGAGGATCTCTTTGCAGACCCGGGTCCGGAGACTCGACCCAGACCGTTAAGGCGTACTACCTTAAGGACCCTAAGCTACGGGAATTATGGTATATTCCTTATTATGGGTAATGCAGGATTTATATCATCAACCAAAATTGGTTCTGCGCTTTACGTGGGGTTTAGGGTTCAGGGTTGGTGTGGGCGTTTCGGGCTTTTAAGTAGTGTTGAGATCTCAAAAGTTATAGCTCCTTACAAAACTCATTTTGAACAGAAAGTCATCAACCCCTAAATACTACTAGTGCATAATCACAAGACTCAGTCAGGGGGCCGGGAAGTTTATGTGCTTGCAGTGATTGCATGATAGCTTGACCCAGCCCTACGGCCGCCACTCTACGATGTTGAGTGCGGTGAATGGCACATGCTTTGTCAGGATTTAGGGGGTTTAGGGTTTAAGGTTTAGGGGTTTGTTAGGGTTTGGGGTTTTTGAGATGGCAGCGAGACAAAAATCTCCCAGACCTGCGACACTTCGAGATCTAGATCTGTCACGCCTGCAGTGTTCATGCAATACAAGAGCCGCGTGTGCTGTCGTATAGTTCTTTCGCCGGGGCAACAAAGCCCTGTAGACCTTTCACTGTAGTCGTGCAGTTTTGAACTTCACACCTTGCACGCACCCTCAAATCCTAAAGGCTTCAAGCCCCAAATCCTAAACCTAAAGGTAGCACCCCTTCTCAACAAATTCGAGCTCGGACCTGGGAACTCCAGGCTTTGAGGGTTTTCGTTGTTTAGGGAGTTTGGTGTAGGGTCGAAGTGCTTCGTGGCGTCTTGTGTTAGCCCGCCTCGAGATACCCACCACCCTGTCCTAATTATTCAGGCCCCTTTCGTGATCAAGAGAAAAAAGTGTTAGATTCTGGCACACAGATCTCTGAAGCCGGGACTTTGGGGCATTTGGGGGGAGTCCTTCTGATCAAGTCTATGCCCCAACCCCAAATGACCCTACAAGTTAAATCTCTCGTGAGTAGTTGTCCGTATCTTATCGTTACACAAACCACATATATTCCTGAATTTGGAACGCCTTAAATGCCTGAGCCTTATAAGGCTTGGAAACGCCTTAACACTACTAGCCCTCAACTCTCTAGACCCCTAAAACATCCGACAACCACCAAATCTACAGTAGTAGAGCTTAAAAGTTTCACTCTCCCCCGAGTCTGCGAGGAAAGCTCCGGCTTCCGAAGCCACGGCGGACCCCAAAACCGCCTTGCGAGGATGTCCCCTGGCTCTTTAACTTACCTACGACGTGGGTAGTTCTCCAAACTAGGGTCCTATACTTCATGCCCTTAGCAACCCCTATATAGACGACCCCAAAAGGGGCTTAAGGCTTAAATTTAGAGAACTACCTACATGTAGTTCGTGTTGTTCTGAGAACTTGGTTTTAACTTGATGTTTTACTGCTTGCTTCTTGGTTGGCATGTTGATATTACGTGGGCTTTTAAGTTTAGGGTTTAGGGTTTCCAGGCTCGTGTTGGCTTAGAATCAGAGGGCTTGGGAGTTCAGAGCTTTCGGCCGTTTGTTTCCTTTGTGCTGTCGGAAGGTTATGAGGTTTTACAGGGTTCGTCAGGTTGTGCTGAGGGTCTTCGGAATCCTTTATAGAGCTTGTGGGGGTCCAGGGTTTTAACAGCTTGAGGGCCAGCAAACGTATGACAAAGCCAGCCGAGGCACATCCCCTTGTGTGCATTTGTCTCTGCCTGCGTGCATGGAATTCCAAACAGCTTGTTTTGGACATATGGGCGCAGTGTTCATCCGGGCTCAATGCGTGCCATCCACACAGGCAGATTGTAACAAACCAGACCTACGTGCTATCTGATTCCACGCTTGAATTGTCCGCGAGCGAAAGTTCGGGCTTGACAATCCCACAGCCCGAAATCCGAAAACTTGAACTCCCAAGCCTTAAGACCATACAAACTGTGCGAACGGACGGAGCGACGAAACGCGGATCCGACAGCCTTGTGGTGCCAACGTCACACAGCCTTAGCCTAGCTGCTAAACCTGACCAGTACCCTATCTATGCTTCTGACCTGTTGCTCGGCTGCACTGGTGCCTCTATCTCACTTTGTCAGACTCTCGTCGCATCGGCGTGGCCTCGCCTGGATCTCTCTGACAACCGTACTGAGAGCCCCGATACCGGTAATGCAAGAACACATTGTTAGCTACAAAGAAGAGCTTCTTTGGTCAAGGTTGTCTGGATCATACAGAAGTGGAGGTTTTTTGTGATTATTCCCCATGGTTCGTTTTACTAAGCCACACCCGAAACAATATGAAAGCCCTTCATATAAGCCAAAACCAAAGCCATACGATTCAAGCGTCGACCTCGAAAATCTGACCCTGAACCCTACAGACCCTGTAAGCCCGAACCTGAACCCCAAAAGTACGAAGAATAATAGCCTTTTCCAAGGTTCAGGGTTTGACATATAGGTTTTAACCATTATTTTGCCTACTTTGGGGGGGGTCTAGGAATCTAGGAAATGCAAGCAGAAACCGCAGCCCAAATCCAGGCTGGACCCTCCCTACGGACGGCTGGAGGTGGCCAAAGCCCGGCTTTCGCGCTGCGTCGTGAGCTTGCAAAATGCCACCCGGCTGCAGCAGGGGGTTTCCATTGTTTTCTGTATACTGATTTCTCACGGCATAGTGTGATCTGTAACGCTTGCTTTCTCATTTCCCAGGAGGTTTTTTGCTGGGATTTGGGGACGTCTTCTATGATGAATTCATTATCTAGTGATTGTGTTGCGGCCAGTTGGAGGCTTTTGACTGAGTAGGGTTCGGGGCTTTGTTTGGTTTGTTTTGCTGTTTTGGGGCTCAGGTGTTGGTTTTGGTTTCGCCGTATAGAAACTTCGATATGATAATTCTTGGAGTGTAGTATAGACCGTAAACCCTAAACCCAAACCCTGAGAGCCCCTGGGCGCAGAGGGCCCTTTTGGGGCTGCGAGTTTACACCTTCGATCTTCGGCCGCCTCTTTCGCGACTTCAGAAAGTATGACAAGCCGTGGCTCCATCCCAATCAGTTTTCGGCATGTTCATAAACTGTCCTAAGAATCCCACCGCTTAAGGTCCATGATGAAAGCTCGTTGTTCCCCACCCTCGGTGTGGGGTTGTTAGATTTTAAAGTCAGCTATTACTCCTCGCCCGCTGAGATTACCTCCTGGAGTACCCAACCCCACAGACTACCGTGAGAATACCGTGAGAATCCCTGGAGTGCCCAAGCCGACAGACTACCGTGAGAATCCCTGCCCAACCCCACAGACTACCGTGAGAATCCCTGGAGTGCCCAACCCCGCAGACTAGCGTGAGAATCCCTGGAGTGCCCAACCCCACAGACTAGCGTGAGAATCCCTGGAGTGGCCAACCCCACAGACTACCGTGAGAATCCCTGGAGTGCCCAACCCCACAGACTACCGTGAGATTCCCTGGAGTGCCCAATCCCAACTTTGCATGTAGGAAGGACAAGGCGCTAGGGTGGGGATGCTCGATTTAAAATTTGTTTGTTCTGAAACCCCGTGTTTGGGGCTTTCTGGGGAATTGCAGGCTCAGGCGGCTGAGGGTAGGTCTGTGGCATTTACCAGGAAGATTTCGAGAACCATCTCCTGATTCTGCGAGCCTTCTACCCCTGGCTGAAGCGCGTGAAGCTTCTCGGATGACCGGCTAGCCCGACGGTTTGTGCGCATATCTCGCTTCCCTCGTTCCGCAGAATGAGACATAGGACGTAGGATCGGCCTAAATGAAGAGGCCGGGATTACTTCTTGGACGTTCCGGCTTCTAAAAGCGCAGATGACCGTCAGCGCTCTTTTGAATGCTCCTCCATGAATAAAGGATTGAAACCATGAAGCCCCAACCTTGCAAACCCATGCGAACCCACCTCGTATGTCTTCTTGCTCAAGCAACGCCATATATACTACCCAGACCGCAAGCCGCAAACCGCTTAGTGCGCGAGAGGGGGAGCCTTTCGATGAAGTTCAGCAAAGCCCGAGCTCGCACACTCAGTCTTACGGACTACTTAACAAATTAGACAGGTTGTCACAAACCTCATAGATGCAGGAGGTTATCAACCAGCGGTCTACCTCAACATATGCTGGCTTATAGACGCTTGCAGAGTAGGAACGGCTATTTGCGAAGCTTCCTTAGTTCGAAGGTAGTTCTAGCGTGCCCCATCCAGGGAATCCATCTTATCAGGAAGGACATGGGCTGCAAAGATCTCCCAAATTATACCTACATACAGTTTCTGAAGCTACCAGTGCTCTGCGACCCTCTGTGAACGAACGAGGCCAGGTGCTGGCAGGCAGCATGCAGCACAATCATAGAGAGCTGCAAGGTGATGTCGAAGGTATGATTTCGAACGCTGACCAATCCGTTTCCGAATAGCTAAGTTTACTTAGATGTTTCATGCTCGTATCTTCGGAAGCTATAGTTTGCCTTGCGTTCCACTCGAGCATCAACAGAATGCTCGAAACCTAGCTTTCGGAAATCCGCTCCAAGCTGACATGGTTTTTTACAAGCTTGAAAATACCTTTGTGGGGGTTGCGCGTTTTTGGCAACCGGTACATATTCTCCACCCACTCATAAACAGCTTCAATTTGCATTCCTGGAGCCCAAGTCTAGCCGAAACTGCTCCAACTTCGGCAACAACTGAAATCCTGTACACAAGGGGCCTTACTAATTACCAATACTATTTTGGGGGTTCCTTTTTGCACTCATAGTATAATGGGCCCCAAAACCTTGTTCTGAATATTAAGGCACCTACATTATGCGACATTGTCCTGTGACGTGCTTTGCAAACACATCCTGCTTCAAGCTGACCTCTCGCTGGTCTAAGGTTTCCAGAGGGCGATGGGACTGCGCAGAACATCTACAACACACAGGCAGTGGTCTTTATTGCAAGCAACCCCTCTACACAGAATTAGTTGTCTTTCGTAGCTAATCTTTGCAAGTGTTATGTGTTCTGTCACATCATTTGCAAACATATACATGTTCATCTTCTCACGTTTGCACCAGGGCTTTGGAGCACTACACTAGGCTTGATCAATCTTGCAAGGATGCTACAATCCTGTTAAGCCGAAGCCACCTCCCAAAAACATCTTCGCTGTGTACGACAAGGAGTCTGCCTTCATCCGCGACAACCTGCCTGCACAATATCGTGAAGCGATCGCCCGTTACAATTCTGTGGACATGGAGCTGTACCAGGCCCTCGGTAGTTTCGGATTTGATAGATCCGACACACCTTCATCGTAAACCCCAACCCTTGTATACCTAAGTGATTTCCCGTTCCAGAAGGATCAGCGGCTTTTGCCTTCACAAGTATCATCAGCATCACAGGAAGTCCTTCAACTGCAGATTAGAAGAAAACGACTCGAGACTGCTTCATGTCAGTTTCTGCTTCTGAAAGAGAGGCTGCTCCGAATCATCTCTTTGGCTTTGTCCAAAGAACTAAGTGTAAGATCCCCTTGGCAGGACTCCGCTAATCGTCGAACAGCCCTCTCAAATATGTGAGGTGGCTAAGGGCAGAGCCTGCAACAAGGCTTCAACACCCCTCCAAGCACCGCTCGTACCTTCAAGCTCTCGCACAGACAGAGTGTGCGAGCTTCTTCCCGCCTGGCAGAAGCAAGGAGCACCAGTTGGGGCAGCAACACAGCAACAGCTGCAACAAATCTTTTGCTAATAAGGGCCCAATCCCAACCATTGGCTGTCGGAAGCCTTGATTGTTTCAAGAACCGTGCACTTCAAGCAGCCGGGTGTTGTCACCTAGTCATCTCAAATCCTTCAATCCAAATATAGAACCCACAGACACCCACGTCCCTCGAGTGATCCAAACTCCTTGAGCCTTTAGCCCTCCACGTGGCATCCGATAACACCCAAAACGTTCAAGCCTCAAGTTTAAAGTCTGACCCGAAGCCCGTAAAAGCAATACATCCTCATTGAAACGCAACCCCTCAAACACAAAAAACCTCTGTTTATGGAAGCATGTATGCATATTTATGTATGTATATATATATATACACATATGTACAAATTCTGTCAGAAGCTCTCAGACCTGCCTTTGCTCAGTTCGGCGTGGAGCGCTTCTACTGGCAAGTGGCGGAGGCTCGGAAGCGCCTCGACTGCAAAAGGAGGCTCAGAGTCTCGGAGGGCCCCAACTTACCAGGGTTTTTGGTTCATTTCAGTGTGTTCTAGTGGGAGTTGTGTAAGGGTATTTTGCAAGGTTTCAGACAGGGGTAGGATGATTTCGGGATATGGGAACATGCTCAAAGGCCCACGTTTATGATTTATCAGGCTTGATTTTTGTTCGGGACCCTGGAGGGACGCATAAGGTTCTTCTATCCGGGCCTTTCCAAACTACCCTTGGTCCGTGGAGTCTCCCCAACTTGGAGCAGTCCCAAAGCGGATCCCAGCGAGACTGAAAGGGGTGTGAAAAAGGCTTCAGGACTCTTCAATGAAAAGCGCAGTTCGAATTGCAGTTGGCGGAGTGTGAGGGGTTTATCGAGGCTCTTGAGTCGCATGCACTATAAGGGACGGACAGACGGAGTACAGGATGTCGAAATGTATCCGGATCATGCATGCAGGATGCTGCTGCTGGCACCTCCCAGCTACGTCCAGATGCCGGCTTCATGGGTGCAAGTTTTTTTGTTTGCAGGGGTTTGGCATTTAGAACTTTCAAGCATGCGGGGGAGTAAGTTGCCAATTGTTGGATTCTGGGCGGAGAGGTCACGCGAGTTGTTGTTGTTGTTGTTAGCTGCTTCCTTAACAGAGAGCTCCAGGTTCAGAAAGGATTTTAAGATCCCGTCCTAGGCCTCCGACCGGCTGAGCAACAGTTGGGAGGTTGCTTGCAACGGCAGGCGTGAAAACCCTCAACCCGGCCCAACATGAACCCTCCACTCAGCTTGACAGGCCGCAGGACCCTGACCGCCTAAGTATATACCTAAAAATGAACCGCTACGAAACACCACACATTTTGGGAACATGCAAGACCCTGACAAGATGATAGCAAGACTCACATGTTCAACACCGAGGCCCCTGTATGTCCTGGTGTTACCAACCTCAGAGACCCAGAGCCTCAGGTTCTCCCACTCCGATCCCGCGATTGGGAGGCCAACTGGCCCTTCTTTCAGGCCGCAGCTCGGATGCTTTCCTAGTATCGTAGAGTAGGGATCAGTTAACCTTTTTGGGGTACTAGGATCCTTGTATAAACCCCAATATACTCCTTTCCTAGTAGTAGAGTAGGTAACAGTTATATAATCTTTTTGGGGTACGATGATCCATTATATAATCCCAAAATATTCCTCCCCAAGGCTATCCTTCAGCTCGTCAGGATCTTATATTCGACAACTAGGTGTGTTTTTCCCGCGGAGGGCAGCTTTTTGCTGTGTTGGTGTTAGTTCCGGGAGAGTAGCCCATCCGTTCGTTCTACTACTTCCGGTGTGTAGTTTGAGTCTGGGGTTGTTGCTCTCAGCTGCCATTGAAACAAGGGCATATCTGTGCGAATGATACTCTTCTTATTTGGGAGTTTCCGAAAATAGGGGACCCTAATATAGCACCCTAAATAGTAGGATCCTTATTATAAGGACCCCAAAATAAGGTACCCCTGTTTTCGGAAACTCCCATTCAAGTTTGATCAGGGTAGCCCTCACGCAGCGACCTTTCGTCCCCTGGCCTTCCTTCAGCCCTGCCATCAAGAAGAAGGAACCAGAAGCCTAAACCAGAAATTAAGCCCCATTATGAAGCCTAACCTCGCCGAGCTGCTGGGCAGGTAGGGAGATCAGCTGTTGCTCGCCCACAAATTGCCTCCAAATCAAAAGAAAAGCAACTAACCCAGTGAATCCGAAGTCCGGAGCTGGTTTAATCAGTTTTCAACAGGCATTTTAGATTTACTGCTCGTCCTCTGTCGCACGATGTTGAGCTGGTCTTTGTATTGGGTCCATTTAAGATGCGTATAGGAACTACCGAAAACCCTGAAAACCGACTGGAAAACCTGGTCGCATGGTGCCAAAAGCTGCAGTGCAGCTCGGAGCATTTTCAATGCCCATGATCCAGTAATGAATGTGGTGACATGACAAAACTTTGTCCTTTGGTACACGGATCGTCTTTGCCAGGAGCAGCTCCCAACCGCCTTCCTGATGAGGTGGACAGCCCAACGTTTCCTCATAATCCGTGATACCTTGCGCTCTTCTTCGGAGTTGTTATTGTCGCTGCACAGGTTAAAATCTTCAAACCCTGAAGTGCCAACCCCTGTACTTACACCACGATAAGCCCAGGAAGCCTCCAACCCCGCCCGCCACAAAAAGCAGCTACAAGCAAAGAATCGAAGCCTACTGCCATTAAACAGAATACTCATGCTATCTATATATATATATGTATATCGAAACCCTAAATCCTGAACTCGCTAGGCCCCGGGACGCCGGTAGAGCTTCTTAGAAGCTCTCGAAGCTAGGGTGGCAAGCCATCCGCTACACAGGAGCTGAGGCATTTGTAAAGGGATTCAGGAGTCCGGGTTTTGGTTTCTTGGAGACTACACATTTCAGAAGCAAACTCAGGGTTGTAGCGTTGAGGTCAGCAAGCCCCAATTTGGGTTCAGGGGTTCAGGGTAGAGGTTCAGAGGGTGCTCAGCGTGAAGTTGCCGGTTTCGCGTTTCGTTCGTTGTTGCCCCGCTGCCTGGTTGCGCAGAGCCCCTGGAGCATTCGCTTTAAATGATGGCTTCGGATCGATGTGTCAGCTTGTCAGATTGCTTGCCTGTACTGTTGCTCAGACTGAAGCGAAGCACCTTCTGCGTAAGATGGTCTAATGGAAAGCTGCTTGCAAACCAGGTACAGGGGGCAGGCCGCTCCAAGCACACTGGGTTTTTAGGTTCAGAGGGTCTTCCCAGGAAGCGCCTCCAAAAAGAAGGATAGAGCTCCGACGTTTGGGTTTCTTGGATTTACAATAAGCAGGATGCGACTACAACCAAGACCCGTAAAATTAAAGGAGCCTCGTCGACTACGGCTGTAGCACTCGGTCCCTACAAACGAACAAACTACCAAACAACAAAAACAACGGTAAAACAAGGAGCTAAATTAGAGAAAGCGAAGGGGTGATTGTTAACTAAGTTTCTACATGGGAATTTCCGAAAATTGGGGTACCTTATTTGGGGGTCCTTAGAATACGGAGCCCACTATCTAGGGTACCATATTTGGGCCCCCTATTTTCGGAAACTCCCACATTATGACAAGCTTGTAATCTCTGCGGTTGTCGCTTGGCAGGCGGCTCGCTCGCTGTCGTATCACTCAGCTCGTGTCCCAGCGACTGGGCCTTCATGGCTAAAAAAGGGGCCTTAATAATCAGAATAGGGTTCCGTTTGAAGGGATCCGTTAAGGCACTTAAAGGGCTCTATGGGGATCTAGAAGGGTACTATAATGGGCCTTCATAGCTAGATAGGAGAGATTTGGAAACCAATGGCCCCAAACCGAAGCTCTAAAAACGACCCCTCAAGCCTAAAGGCCAAGGCCCTGAGTTTGTGTTTCAGGCTTACCGAAGCCCGAAGCCCCAAATTCGACATCACCATTTCGATATCAAGAAATCATGTCGTAAAGGCCTGCAGGTAATTCTGAAGGATATTTGTCTGATCTGCCTTCGTCGTTTTGGACATAGGTCCATTCGCTTTCAGCATTTGGGGCTTTGCGTCGTTTGAGGTTCACGGTTTGTGGTGTCGGCTTGTTGGGGTGCCTGCTGACCCGTTCGGAACGCCTGGCACCTCTCTGTGTGTTGCCAGTTTGACGGGTGCCTTACAAAATGTATGGTGCTCCCTGTCGCGGATTAGTGGGCACTCTCTGTTCATACTCTGAGACTGCTGAGGTGTGGCCGGTTGGTGGGCGAGCGTACACCCGAAGGCGTCGACTACAAGCACCTCGCATGCGAAGGAGCCTTTTCCTTTAACTGTAGGCCCTGTATAATTAAGCCCCTTGAATGCTTGAACTCTGCACCCTGAACCCTGAAGCCGAAAAGCCCCAAACGAGTTCCTGAAGCCCCGAGCCCGAAACTCTTCCAGTCAAACTCTGAAACTCCCCAGCATCCGCGACCCGTGCCAGGTTACCACCGGCCTTGGCCGAGCAGTTCGCGCGCTTGGCCAGCGACGCCTACTATTCCCAGAGCCCCGTGCCCTGGCTATCTTGGCCTTTGAGGGCCCTTTTTCAGGGTTCCTTTAAGGGCCACTTTAGGGCTACATGTGGTCTATTCTCTACACTGGAGCTATCGGGAACCGACTGTTCAAGGGGTTTCTGTGGGTTATCTTACTGCTCGCCTACAGCGATAGAGCCTGAAACACCCTACCGCATGGGGATGGAGGAGTCAGTGACACAGGAAATTAACGAACTATCCACGACAGGGTACATTCCATGCAGATGTTGGTAGGGACCAGCACAGGACAAGCACAAGCATTTTCTGGGGATATCCCTACCTTATGGGCTTTATTACTGGGGCCCATAATACTACCTGAGGAACGATTCTACACTCTTGGCTTTCGGGACCTTCTCCGAGAAGTTGGTCAAGTGAAATCAGCGGAGTACCAGGACACGAAGTCGGCTTTCATGGGGTTCAGTGTGTGGTTTGGGGATGTTTTAGGTTTGGGGCTAGGGTTTGAGGTTTAGGATTTCGGCGCTTAGGGCTTATAAGTCCTAAACCAGTTGTAGCTTCTAAGCGGTTTAGGAGTTGGCTGTTTAGGGTTTGGGTCGACAGGGTGTAGGAATTTGCAGAATCTTCCGGCGGAGCCTCGCTAGCCTGAGGCTACCCAGGGTTCAGGGCGCAGGCTTATCATACTCTTCTCTACCGAGACCCGAAATTCCCTGCATCCTGCTTGCAGAGAGCGTCTAGCCCCTTCTTCAGCAGAGTTGAACTTGTTGTAAAACTTTGTTTTGAAATTCGAGAGTCCTTGGCTTTGCAGCCCTGGTTCTTTATGATCACATTTTTTTGGAGCCCTAAGTTTCGTCTCATCCCGGATACGTGGCTGTGTGGGTTCGGATCTTCGGGCTGAGGCTACGAAATCTCTGAGAAACCTGAGTTCCCAAACGACACAAAACACAGCGTGTACCTAAGCATATACATCTACAACCATTCACATACACATACACTTATGCACATATGACCTATACAACACATATACACATACTTATCCACACATACACGCATACACGCATGCACACATACACACATTCACACATTCACACATACATACATACATACATACATACATACACATCTGTACATATACACAAAGGCACACACACACACACACGCGAGATGTGTATTCATTCTTGGTATGAGTGTGCGCACATAGACGAAGATGACAGGGAGTCTGCCAACAACCCGACGGGCAGGAGATCCGCATCCCAGACTTCCACATGCTTTGGGAGGACTCATGGCGGGACATGCCGCTTGGCTGCTACAGCTTAAACTGGCAGAAGAACCTGAAACCTACGACGTAAGTGCTTTGGAAGAAGTTCTTGGGGTTGTGATTGAGGCTTTAAGATTGCAGGGTTTACGGTATGAGGGTTCAGGATGTTAGGGTTTTAGTGTTCAAGTTTTAGCGTTTGGCGGCCGATTCCAAAGTCGGCCCAATGCCCAATTCTTGAGTACATACGGCGAAAACCCTGGGTGCCAGCACGTCGAAGTAATCCCTACTGTAGGGAAACGCAGAGAGGAAGGGAACAACTAGAGTAAGGCCAAGGTAGGCAACGGATATGAAAGTCATAAATCCTCATAACATGCTGCTCGAAGTATTTACGCCCCTCACAGTGGCAATTATGAAATCCCTGCGTCTGTGTGTTGTCGAGGCAGGAGGTCTTGACCACGCAGGGCCTCCCACAGTCAACGGCCACCGACAGGACATCATGAATGGCTTAGAACTAGCAGAAATAATGTGTATAATCTCATACTCCGTGTATAGTTGTACTCAAGAAATACATCTAAGCCCTATCTATCGGTCTATGTATGTATACATATATATATATGTATATATGTATATACATCTCAGATTCCATGTCTCTGCCTGTTTGCAGTCTACTCTAAGCTCTGTAAGCCCGAACAGGTCTGCATGGTTCCGATGTTCGAGGCCTTGGATAAGCGAAATCCAAAGTCTCCAAAATCATCCAAAATCCCTTCCCCGCAGGCTCCTTCCTGAAAAATTCAATGCGGCAGGAGGATCCTGAATCGGGAATGCAGAAGTAAGGTATCTTCGAGTTTCTGAGAATTCCCACAAGTCCAGGAAGGGTGAACCTGTGGCTTAAAAGATCAGTTCCAGACATATTGTCGTGCCAACATCTGGCGAACAATATGCTGCAAGTTCAAAGTGTGACTTACTTTTGGGATGCCCAACACTCGACCAACACCAACACCATAAAGTACATGGAAGTATTGACGGAGCTTCAGAACAGCACTTGAATTCTAAGTGTCAGCACGGTAAACCGGTCAACATGAAGATCCCAGATCTGATGTCGAAGTTTTGGAGATCCAACGAGAAGGCGTCAAATGACAAAGCTTCTGATGTCGTTTGAACCTCGTAAACAGACCAAGCCCGTCCCGAAGGAATCCATGGATATGATGCTGATAGGCGTAGAGGTTCGACATCATTGTATGCAACTTGCCGTCTCCAATGTTTGTGAACCCCAAGCCTTGCCAAAGCATATGGCACCCGGAACGCCCAAGAAAGCCCTCTGAACCTCGACTAAAGGGATCTTAAGCCGGCAGGACAACCTGATGTGACCTTGACCTCGTGGGAGGCGTCGGCTGACAAAAGCAAGATGCACGGCAGCTCCTGCGGCAAGCAGGCGTTCAAGGTGTGCATCTTCTCAGGACAGGCATGTTCCCAGGCCAGCCAAGGATGAAGGGCCATGGTCCCACCAGCTTCTCTGAGAAGTTCGTAAGTCTGGCCTGGGTGGGGCGATTCAGAGATTTTGCAGCTTCTGAATCGCTCCTGGCGAAACACTTCTGCGATGGCGCCACCAGGCGTGGAAAAACCGTGAAGACGGATCTGCTCTAAGTGGGTCTGCTGCAAGCATCTGCAAGCAGGTCCCTGATGACAGGTTCGACGCTACTGCCGTGCCAGCTTGTCCTTGGTGAAAAGAGGTTGTCGGTTCTGCCGGTTCTTCACGATGACGTGGAACGCTGGATATTTGGCTCTGCGAAGACGAGCACTGAGACCATCGTCTGTGCTCCTGACTCCCATATACGTAGCCGGGTGCAAAAGAGCGTGGCCGCTGATGACAGAAGCATTGCAGTGCACAAGACGCATGAATCTCTGTCACAGATCCCATATCTCATCGCTAAGATGACGATCCCCGAGAAGCGCTCATTTGTATGATCTAGCCTAGCCATTGAAAATCCAACAACTACCCAAAACTGAGAGTTCGATTCGGTGTCGGAGCTGCTCAGGCTTCTCATGCGTACATTTTGTCCAGCAACATAACCCTACAAGGACCACCAGAACCGGACATACACTGTTGTCACGTCAAGACCTGCGAGAAGATGGGAGTTACATACACTCGCGAGAAACTGCCAGGTTTAGGATGCAGGGACATGCAGCCCGACCATTATCACTATTCTGGCTATCATTTTCGAAATACATACAACTTTCTATTGATTCAACTGAGTATCTTTATTATAGTTATGACTTTTATACTGTGATTGCGATGATTATGATTCTTATCATTACTACAGCTATTGCATCTGACCACTGAGGACAGACTGGCCCCGGCACTACAAAGCATCGGGTCACCCCTGCTCCCTTGCCAGGGCAAGGAGGTTGGATAGGTTCACCATTTATTTTCAGATTTCAATACGAGCTGTTCGGAATCGTTTGAAATCATTGTGAACTTCCGCTGGGGTTCGCCAGGTACTACCCGTCCCTCGATGTCCTGAACACGCTCGAGGTGCCGATGGCCGTTTGGTTTGCGAGTGACCTTTGTTACGAGTCCATGGTGAGGATAGGAGGCAACCAGTCGCAGCCATGAATCTACCGATAACGAATCATACTCGTCGGGCGCTTGCGGACCCTCGTCATGATACAGAGACCAGAAGAAGGGTAGCACACCAAGATCCAACATCTTCACTTGTCGCTCCACTTCTAAACGCAAAACACAACCCAAAGCACCTGAATTCAGAATGAGATCAGTAGATGCATAGCGTCTCGGCCAGGCGTTCAGTGCGGGTTTAGGGTTCAGAGGTCAAAGTCAGGGTTAGGAGGAGGCTGGGGATTTGGAATCTCGGAGAGGGCTGGAGGGGTGCTGTTTGGTAGTGTTTTGAGAACCGAAGATTGCAGGGTTTGGGTTGAGCACAAAGAGTTTGGGTTCAAAGTTTGGGGTGCGGGGCTTCTCGGTCTGTATTCCCGTTGAGGGTTGGTGGTAGAACCGAAGAAGGGCCCGTAAACCCTGGATGTTGTGATATCCTATCTTGCGGAATCTCAGGTCTATTTTGTTTTTCATTTTTGCTAGTTTGGGGTCTTGGAATGTGCCAGTTGTAGCCGAAACAGAGAGCAGCCCTTCTCTCTGTAATGCTGTCGTACCAGCTGCCTTCATTGGTTCCGTGCTTTGGTTGTTTCAAGCATCAAGGTGACTGAAGGTTTCGTCCCAGCCTGCTTTGCAGGTAATTTAGGGGCTTAGATAATTACCTACCCATTCTAATTATCAAGGCCCCTCTGTTATACCTGTGCCTGATCCCGAGGATGCCCCCACCAAATTGTCAACGTGTTGCATGCATTTGGCCTTCAGTGGCTTTCGAAGGTGTCCTGTTATGCTGGCCCGCGCCCTGAACCTGAGCCTTTGAACCCAAACCCAGCCCGAAGATGACACGCTATCATACATCTAAAAACAATATAAACACCTGGAGACCCGATGCCTTCCTTCGCATAACCACCAAAGAAACAGAGCTCTTGGGAGGAGCACGCGAGCACGGTGCGGGATCCAAATGCCTACGTCCTCGCCGGCATTCGCAAGGTTGCAGGGGAAGGCCGCGATTCAAGAGTGAGACTTTGGGGCATCAAGTATTTTAGACAAGACCTGTGCCCTGCGCCTTGGAGCTTGGGGTGCAAAGCTGGCGAAGTTGTGGTTTGCAGGGGGACGGGGCCAGGACCGAAACGCAAGCCCGCTGAATCGACGAGAGTGATCCTCAGGAGCCTTAAGCCCGGAGCCTTGAAAGGAACCCTAAACACCTAAACCCTACACCCCGAAACCCTGGGATTTCTTAGGGTTTGAGGTTGCAGCTTTGGAGCTGCAGCCAAGATGCGGTTAGGACGCGGAAGTCGGCAACTAACTCAACAAATCCTGGAGCTGCACATCCCAAGGGCGTATGAGCAACGTATGGAATGTGCCTCGCAGATAGCCGGAGACTGTCTACACGAAGCTGCCTCGGCACATGAATGGCATGCTTTGCAAGTACACTCAAACTGCAGGCTGAACGTATTTTTGGAATGTACGTATGTATGTATGCATGGATGCATGTGTGTAGTATGGAGGCTATGGATGGTAGGGAATGGCAGGGCGGAAGGAGGGTAGGAGGGCAGGAGGGAGTTACGTGGGCAGGCATGAGGCTACTATCGTTACTACTACTACTACTACTACTACTACTACTACTACTACTACTACTACTCCTCCTCTTCCTCCTCCTCCTATTCCTGCTTCTTCGGCTGGCAGCTGCTCCTGCTGCTCCTGCTCCTGCTGCTGCTGCTGCTGCTGCTGCTGCTACCACCACCACTGCTACCGCCCTTGTCACCTCTGCGACTCTTTTATCACGCGCTGCAGAGGCAGAGGGCAGCCTGCCATGCGCCGGGCTGAGACTTCCTGGGTTTCGGGGTTTCGGATTGGGGTCTGGACTTCCTTGTAACCGTGTCATGCAACAAAGCTTAAATCGGAATACGTAGTTACATAGATGGCACGTAGTATCCTACCCATGACACCTCTATAAGACGTTATAACTTTCGAACAGCCCTAGAGCTTATTGTAACCTGTGTTGAGTGTTGGGTGTTTGAGGATTCAGCTGCTGGGATTCTCGGGGTGGAGCTGCACACCCCTTGAGCGAATCCTGCGGTCTTCGAAGCGAACGACCCAAGGTTAGGGTTCAAGAGATCAACCCCAAGCGCACATCCCCCCGAAAAGATTGAGAGACTCGAGGGAATAAATCACAAGAAATTTGATAGCTCTCGACTCTAGGCCAAGCATATTACCCCAGCAATCCCTAAACCATCAGTTTTGTAAACCATTATGAACCCGTATATCCGCAGCTTTGAAGCCCTAAAACCCCGCTGAGGGGGAGTGGCTCAAGGTAATAATCGTGTGCTGCACTATGAGCTTACATCGCATTGCTACTCACGTGGCGACGTCGAGTGATGTCGACGATGATGATGACGATGGCGTCCCAAACCCCATTAGATGCAAAGGTTGCAAGTTTAGGGCTTATATAGAAGCACATAAACGGTGAAATTATGGGGTTCTTTGGAATCGCTGCGATTTCCACCCCCAAAGTAGGATCCATCTCTTCCAGTCTATATGGTCTTCTCGGCCAATGGTAATTTTAATGTTAATCACAGTGTTGATAGCAGCAATCCTAAGGTTGCGAGCATCAACTATTGCTGCGTCTTCCATGGTTCCGATGACAACGAGTTGCGAGAGTCCAAAGCCCATATGCTACCGAGAGCAATTTCAAGCAACTGTAGTCGTGCACTCCTTAGCCAAAAGGGAGCCCCAAAGCCCTAAACGCCAGGAAAAGGGCAATCAAATTTTTCCCAAGTCCAAAGTCCTGAACCTCATAAACCCTATATAACCTCGCCCCGGCATGTCCGCGTGCTCTGTAAACCAAAGCCGTCAACTACTTGCTGGGAGGCAAGCGCTGCCTGCGCCGCCGATGCCGCATCCGATGCCGCCGCCTCCGCCGCAGGGCAAAGGCCATGGCCTCTGCATGGTTTCGGGTGTGGGGTTCCGAGCACCGATAGATTTGGAGTTGAGGACAGAGTAGCCCGAACCATCATGATGCTGTTCTTCGGTGGGGGGGCAACTGGATAGACAGTCCAAGCCTGCACTTAGTCACTGGTGACAAGCCTATAATACGCATGGTTGCCCGGTTTCCCAGTACTTTTCATGTGATGCTCCTTTCGGCATCACTCAACCAGGTCTCTTTGTATTTTGACCATCCGGTTCCCTCCAGACGATCTATGTTATCCCCCTAGAACACGACGGAAACAACAGCCTGCCTTGCTCAGGCCATGCAAGGGGCGAGGCCGGAAGCTTCAAGTCAACCGGGCTTCAAAATGTGAGGGCTTTGCAAAGGTGTAAAGGTTAAGGCGGCTCTTGGATGGACCGTTTCTGTATCATCTGATGCCACGGAATGACGATAACTGCCGGTGTGGGTTTCCGATCTGTTGTATGTTTTATGAGTCGGCAAGGATCCGTTCAAATCGATCCTAGAAGGACCTTCTCAACTGCAAAGTCGGTAATCCATTGAAAGGACCGGAAAGCCAAGGAACGAACTAATCAAAGCCCTTAAGCACGGCTAACCTGAAAACCTTCAACCTTAAGGGAAAAAGCCTCCGCCAAAGCCAGACTCGGCAGGAAAAAGTCGTCCGGCGACTTGAGTCCCGGCCTTACGACCGACTCCGCTACGTCCAGGGAAGTGCGTGCAAGGTTGAGAGCTGTGCAGGCTTTGTGGCTCAAGTTTTTAGGGGGTCTCAGGGCTCGGGTGCAATTTCTGAGGGGTTCAGCGTTTGTTGAA